GGCAGGGGCCATCGAGGAGTATTTTGGGCCATCTTGGGAAAAATATGCGCACGAAGGCGAAACATGCACAAGGAATCGACGTTTTAGCGATGGCGAGGGCAGGGACCATCGAGGAACATCCCGTGCTATCTCGCGAACAAATGCAAACACGAAGCTGGAGAACATGCCCGGGGGATGGGGGTCCGAGCGATGGCAAGTTGCCCACCTGTCGTCGAAAACGGGTATCTCTGGACTCCCTGATCCCAATCCAGTGCCGTTTTTGATACATGCTCCGAGTGCGGATCATGTATTGAACATGCAGGGATCTAGTATTGAAAAACAACGGTGAGTTCATGCATACGTTTATTCATACATTAGTCATGTCTTAACATACCTATCTGTTTAAAAATCCTGTGTATTAAAAGCTGCCCTTTATACTTTAGGCGCCTTCCCACCTCAAGGATCGAGTAGCTCTTCCTCTTCGCTCCTCAGGGAGGCGGGTGGAAGCCGAATATGCTTCCAACGCCTTCCTGCCTCTCCCGACCAGCCGATGGGTACCTCCAGCCCCATCCCATCCTGAGCCCCACCATCCCACTGCCCCAGTTGGGGATACACCCCTCGAGACCCGAAGGGAGCAGCCCATATCCCCATCCATCAAGGGAGGACAAATCACCCCGACCCCTATAGTCGGCGTTTGCAAAACGGCCATGGGCGTTTACTCGGGTGCGTGTACCAAACGGCTTTGCTCGTCTGGGTGCTCCTTGCGCTGATTTTCTGCTCTGTTGGGCAGATCGGCCAGTGGAGCCCAGGCCACGCCGGTGGGGCGAGGGATTGGTGAAGCGGTGCTCACGGAGCTGCCCCCTTCCCAGGACCACTCGCCCGAGCGCGCAGTTCCCCGGGACAGCAGGAGAGCGCGGGCAGGGAGGAGTCTTCGGTCGGCTCCTCCGCCGCTCGTGTCTGCTCCAGCCCTCGCGGCGTTCGGTTTCGGGCCCTCGTCGGTCCCCCTCGTCGCTGTGCGACCTCGCCGGGGAGTCAGCGCTCGACTCTCACCCACGTCGAAAAGAACCACGGAAAGGTAGGAAAGGTAGCAGGGAGAGGAGAGGAAACGACGACGGGCCTCGTAGTCGACGACGACGACGAGGATCGAGGCTTCTGGGTGGGCTCCGAGTAGATGGTGCCCAGGCGTCGCGCCGCATCGCCGATGCATCGGCGATGCGGCTCGATGTAGAGCGTGATCTTCTCCACGCCGATAGCGGCGATGCATCGGCGAAGCGGCGCGATCCTCCGACCCCACGACCCCCTCTACTCCGACTCCATCCAGAAGGGCCTCGAGAGGACGACGGCACCTCGGAAAAGAGAAAGGAACACGGCAGGCCACCGCATGCCTCCAGCACTGTTGGTTATCGTGTCATTGGCGCGTTCTATATCATGAATTTTTCCACGCTTCGCGTATTCCAACCAGTGTCCTCGGGAACGTTCCTTTCTGTTCGCATCTGGACTTCTGGGAACGCCTCACGCGCCATTTTGGCTGCGCTTGGTCTCCTCGGTGCCTGTCCTCAGGCTCGTTGGATGCACCGTTGCATGCCCGTCCAGGGGCTGTCTCAGACTCCCTGGATTGCACGTCGGCTCTGCCACCCTGGGCGCTGCCCTTCCCCGCCGCCTGATCCGCGGCCCCCGCGCGCGCTAGGCAATTTTGTCGCGGCCGTAGCCCGCCCGCGACCTCCCCCAAAAAGTATCCCCACCAGCTCGCTCAAGGCGCTTCGCCCGCTTTCGGCATACTACACTTTTGCCCGCGATGTATGCGGGCCGGGACACACCGGACGCTGGCCTCAGCCATTCCGGGTGGCCATCCTTTGGAGTCGGCAACATGCAGTGGCTTCCACTTCGTCGCCCGTTGGGACGGCGGCATATGACCCCCCTTTCACATGGGCGTGTTGACAGTACGGTCGGCCGCTTGTCGGCATCGGCGGAAACGGACGTCGGTCAAGGCACCGTGCTGGCGCTTGTGTCAGACGTCGGCTACAGTCACAGGAGTGCGTTCGGGATGCGTAAGCCGCACACCGCCTTGGTACCAGGGGCCATCGCGGGCGCTCTCCGTTGTGGTCGGCCATCTCCAGGCATTGGCCCGAATCCCCCTCAGCGGCGTACAGTCTGGCCGACGTTCCAAGTGAGTGAGTGGTTTTGGCACCCTCCGCCTGGCAGTCTGGCCCCACCTGCGGTTCCGACCATTCCGCCCTCCCCACCTTCGCTGGCATACGCTCAGCGGCTGGTACTTCCCATTTGCATCCTTCGCTGGCACATGTTCAGCGTTGTTAATTTTCTGTTGCTGGCACATGTTCAGCTGCTTTTTCTCGGCCGACACTTGTGCTGGGCCGTTAATTATCTGCCTTCCCGCGCGCCGTGTCCCAACCTCGCTCACACCGCCCTCTGGACTTTTCCTTGAGGGCCGCGAATCAAAAAACAAAAACAACGTATCCCCACCAGTTTCCTCACGGCATCATCTTGCTCCCTCGCCCCGGTGCTGAGACGCGGATCTACTCGGTTCGGTCAGCTCTCCGCCATCGGCTCCTGCTCGAGAGTGCGCGTGGCTTTACCTGGTCCGGTCGCTCAGGCGCTTACTGTGTCGATTGCATCCATCGTTTCGCTGGGCACTTCGCCCGTCCCTGGGACCTTTCCGTGGACGGTTGTTTGCAGGATCAGTACTCCCCTTCAGGGGACTTGGTGTGCGATTTTGGTGGCGCCACCAGATGCATCAGTTTTGGGCCAGCTTGGGCACCTTTGGCAGTCGTTGCAGCGTACTGGCTGGCTGCTTCCCTGGCCACATCCTGGTACGACCCTCGCGCCATTTTGGCTGCGCCCCAACCCTGGTTGGCTAATTATGCACGTGCGCGCCCCTGGACCTGGTCCCCGGCAGCTGCAGCTTGCACCCCCCTCACGCCAGCCCGCCCGCCGAGGCGCTGCTGAGGTCGCTGGCCCGTCGGCGTTCGGTAATTCGGCTAATGCGCGGCCCGTTCGGATCTGAATCGCCGCTGGCGCCCTCGCTTGCGGTTGCGACAGAAAAAGTACCCCCCAGTTTAGCTTGCTCGGCGTTCGACTCGACTTCGCGCGCCCGCGTACCAAAAAACGTATCCTCACCAGCTTGTTCCAGTTATGGTTTCCCTTGTTGTTTAGGCACGGCCCGCCCTGGCTTTGCCGGGCTTTCGACCTGCATCGCGAGCCCGCGTACCGAAAAATATCCCCACCAGCCCATCAAGAAACGAATCGCCAGGCGAGTCTCCTGGATCAGGGAAGCGTAGAAACATGCAGTGTAACAACCGCCTGGGAAGTGGTTTGGCGGAGGCTTCTTGGAGCCATCCTGAGTCTCTGTTGGGGTCTTCGCGCAGCCAATTCATGCACTCTTGGGGCACTCTCGAGGCCTCTTGGGGGGTCTACAGTCTAGGGACCCTCGTGGGGCTTTTTTTTGGGGGGAGGCCTCTGGAGGCAGTGTTGGGTTCACTGTAAAAAGGACAGAGGGTGGGGCGTCAATTCAGGCCCCCCTCTCGGAGACTCAAAAACGGCATTTTCGGGCCGTCGTGGGGCGCGTTTGGGGCGGGCCGTCTTGGAGCCTTTTTAGGTCCCTGTTGGGGCTCTCTTGGGCCGTCTTGGGGCCATCTTGAGGCCTCCGAGGCGCATCGGAAGCGAAAAGGCTAGAAGGCAAACGTCATACATTCTCCTTAGGTTGTGGAGCAATTTGTTCCTCTTGGGTGGGTCCTTGGAGGGCTCGGAGTTCGTTTGAAACCGTTTTGGCGCCGTCGTGAGGCCTCTTGGATGTGCTTCGTAGGCTATTCTGAGCCACCTTGAGTTATCTAGAACAATCTTGGAGGCCATCGTGGAGTCTCTGAGGCCCTCCCGGAGCCATCATAGTCGATTTTGGGGGCTCTAACGCCGCGCGCCCCCCGCCCCCCACCAGGCCCAGGGGAGGGGCAGGGGGAGGGGTAAACCTCTCCCCGGAGCAGAGCAAGGAGAGATTTTGGGCAGAGAGAAGACTCGTTAAACCACCCACGGTAGGTTCGTGCGGCGATGTCGCGCCGGCGGCGCCGGCGACGGCGTTCGTTCAAGTTTGAATTTTGCGACGCGGAAGCACCGACGGGCACGGTGATGCCACTGGACCCGACGGAATTCAAACCTTGAACGATCGGGGCCGCGATCGATTCAAGGTTGAACGATCGACGCGAAGTCAAAAAACCTTGGCGCGCGCCGACGCCGCACGAGCCTGCCGTACGCCCAGAGAGCTGGTGGGAGTACTGCCCCGTCCCAGTCCTGAGGGCAGTGCCCGCGCGAGCGACAGCACCCTCCCCGTCGTGCCCCGAGCAGGTAGAGCAATCTTCCGACCGCGCACACGGCCGAACGTGACATGGCCCCCCCCCGAAAGTGCGAAGATCAAGGGCGCCTTCGAGGGTGCAAAGTTATTCGCGCTTCGCGGCTCGGCTCCGATTCCTCATCCTCCTCTTCTCCCATGGGAGGCGGCGCGAGAGCGCGAAGTTCTTCGCACTTCGCGCAGCGCGAAGCGCGAAGTTGGGAGCTCTTGGGGAAGATCTTGGATTCGGCGAGGGGGGTGGGTCTTGCAGCTTGGGTGTCGGGGAAGGGTCGCCCTCCCAACGCAGGAGGAAGGGATCTGGAAGGACGACCTCGTGGAACCTCCGACGCCCAGAGAGGGCTGGGGGGATTTGGTCCAGGAGCAGAGCTGTCCCCAGGGAGGTGTTCGTAAGCTTTGGGGCTGGGACTTGCGAGCAACCCGTCGGATGTTTTGGGACCCTGTTCCCTCCCAGAGCATCCCCGGCGCATCGAAAAATCGAGGCGGCCCGTTCGTCTGAATGATTTTCCTGCCTTCAGGACTCAGGACCAAGGTACAGAAACAGATGGGAGGATGAGGAAGAGGAGTAGGAGGAGGAAGACCAGGATGAGGGCCAGCCTCTCCCACCTCTTCATCTTCTCTTCCTGGCTTGCACTCTCCCTCACAAGAGCCAGATATTCCCACCCAGGCGGCGCGTGGCTGTGCGGTCCTTGCCCACGCTCCTGAAGGACCTCTTGCCGACGCCGCCAGCCCCAAGGGATGAGGCTGGAGGTGGAAGGAGGGTCGGACTGTCTTTGACACGTCGAAAGAGCAGGGTAATCAACGACAACCAAGTGACATCTGCAACAAGCGTGCAATGATCAAGCGGGTCCCGAGTCAGGGGAAATGCATCTAATCATCGGAGCAGCTGGCTGGCGTCCAAACAGCCAGGTGGAAGGAGGAGCCCGGCGGCACGGAGAAGGGGAGGAGGAGCACCAGCAGGCGGATTGGGGAGGAGGAGGACGGGGGGCGCGGAGGATGGGGAAGTGCAAGCATGGATTGAGGCGTGTGCGTTGGCGACCAGTCTCAAGTCGGGCATGTCCCTCTACAGGAGGAATGTTCAAAAATCGTACAAACCATCTGGTCCGTAGACGATTGTTCGACTACTTTTGATGCTCATTTTTGAGCATGGTTTGACAATTTTCGTTTTTCTTCCAATATCGCCCTGTAAGAGGACATGCCCGACCTGAGACCAGTCCCTGGAGATCTGAGGTCGTGATTCTTTCAAGGCGCGGTCCCCGAAAGTCTCGACCCATTCCTCAGTCCCGGTTTTTCATCCTGAGCCGTCGTTCGACGGTCCCGGGGCCCAGCGAGGGCCCCTGGAGGCCGAACATGTTGCACCACCTCCGTCTGGATTCTTCCAGTGCTTTGGATCTCTGGGCCCCACTTCCGCACAGCACCGGCGTGCTCCGCCGCCAAGAAGTCGGTCGGCCAGCCGCCGACGGGGGCCTCGGCGCCCCGCCCCGCCCCGCCCAGGGGACCATGCGGTCTCTCGCTATCATCGGGGGCACGCCACCGATGCATCGACGCTGCGTGGCGGATTCCGGCGAGATGCTTCCCCCCTTTATCGTTCCCCAGGGCCCGATCCGCTCCACGAGGAGGTGGAGGAGGAGGAGGAGGAGGAGGAGGCAGGGGGAGGAGGAGGAGGACCACGACGACGCCGAGGGGACGAGGGGACTTGGAGGAGGAAGAGGGGGGAGGAAGAAGGAGGAGGACGAGGAGGAGGAAGAGGAGGGAGGAAGAGGAGGAGGAGGAGGAGGAGGAGGAAGAAGAAAACGAGGGTTGAGGAGGAGGAGGAGGAGGAGGAGGGGAAGGAGGAGGAGCAGGAGGAGCAGGAGCAGGAGGATGAGGAGGAAGAGGGAGGAGGAGGAGGAGGCGGAGGAGTAGCAGCAGAAGGATAAGGAGGAGGAGGAGGAGAAGGGGAGGAGAAGTGCCCCACTCAGCCTCGCTTCGCCGTTGCCGCGCACCCCTAGAGGAGCACGGCGTCACCAGCGTCAATTTGCTGGCTCTGGACTGCGAGGGGCACGACTGCGCAATCCTGCGGGGTCTGCTGCGCGGGTGCGGCCCGCGCCCCGCCCCCGGGAGGGAGGCCTCCCAGCAGATGGGGTCGGAGTGGACGGGGTCGGAGGATCGCGCCGCATCGCCGATGCATCGCCGATGCGACTCGATGTGGAGCCCGATTTGCTTCACGTCGACGTCGCCGATGCATCGCAGACGTCGACGACGCGTCGCCAGTGCATTCCCGATGCATCGCCGATGCGTCGGCGATGCGGCGCGATCCTCCGATCCCATCTACTCCGACCCCATCTAGGAGGCTTCTAGTGTGGTTTTTGTTGTGCAGGTCCATGATCATCTTGACCCTCTCGCTGGGCCTCCAGAGGCCACTTGGGATTCCCTGGGATCTTCGACGTGTTCCTTCTTGGGGGCTTCTGCAGGTCCCTGCTCATCCTGGTCCTCGCTGGGCCTCCAGAGGTTTCCTGGGATTCCCTGGGATCTTTGAAGGGTCTTGTCTTCTTGGCGTCTGCGGTCTTCTGCTCATGCCGACCCTCTTTGGCATCCTGAGATGTCTTGAGTTCTTCGGAGGCTTCCGGAGGCCCGCCGCAAGCAGAGTCGGCGTGGGAGAGTGAGAGGAATAGTGAGGACCAGTGATCGGAGGAGGAAGTTGACGGAAACGGGGGAAGAGCAGGAGTGGGGGAAGGCAGGCGACGGTGAGGTTGGAGGATGAGGAGATGAGTGAGAGACCCGAGACTCAGAGGGTTTCAACTGGATTCGGATACGCATGCAATAGGGATTCGAACACACAAAACAGGTTCAAATGCATAATTGAAAGGTAAGTCAGCAGGAGTAGGACAGACCCTGGGTCAGGATTTCAATTGGAGCTGCATGGGGATCCACTGGGAATTCAATAGGAATAGAGAAAGCACCAGGTTCAGAGGATTCCACTTTGATTGGATTTGCAATCCAGAAGGAGTTCGACAGAGATGGAGCAGGCCCTCAGATTCAGACTCTGTATGAATTCAATCGGATCTGAGAGAGGCCCCACATTCAGAATACTTCAATTTGATTTGAATGGGAACCCATACAACTTCAATAATATTGGCGCATGCCTCAGGCTCAGAGGATTTCGATCAAAGTTGAATCGGAATTCGTCGCGATTTTCCGGGGGAAACTTCAAAGCATCAATCAGCAAGACAACCGTTCGAAACATGCATCTTGAGGATGCAGGAGAAGCACATTGTTAAGTCATCGTGTATTTCCCCCACGGGCAAGGGGGGCTTGGCCATCCAGGATGGTATGGAGTTCTGAAAACTTAGGAGGGCCCTGAGGCTCCCAACCTGGACACCTATGTGTGTGCATATGTATATATATATAGATTGATGCACGTGTGTGCACGTTTATATGCATGTACGTATGGCGCCTTAGCACACACCTACGTACACACATACATACATACATACATGCATGCATGCATTCATGCATGCATGCATGCATCTGTACACACACATACATGCATGCACGCGTGCATGGATATGCTCGTACATGCATGCACGCGTACATACATGCATGCATGCATACATACATTCATATACACATACATACATACATACATACATACACCAAACCATACATACAATCATACATGCAAGCATACATGCATGCATACATGCATGTATGTTTGCATACCTATGTATATGCATGCATACCTACATGTTTACACAGGCACATAGACACAGACATACATGCATACATACACACATACCCATACACACATACAGGCATGCATGCATGCATGCATACATACATGCATGCATACATCCATACATACATACATACATACATATATACATACACACATACATGCATACATACATACATACATACATACATGCATGCATACACACATACATACACACATACATACATACATGCATGCATACATACATGCATACGTACACATACTTACGCACGTACAAACAATCATGCATCTATGATTGTATGCATACATGCATACACATACATGCATACACACATACGTACGCGTCCATGCATACCTACACATATACTAACACATATACATATTTACATGTACATCCCACACACACGCATACACACATGCATGTATGCATTCATACATATACATACACATATCTATACATCCATACATGCATACACATACATATATACACACGTACCTACGTGCACCCACGCATACATGCGTACGTATGTACATTCATACATACATACATGATACGCACATGCACACATACACACATACATACATACATACACACATACACACATACATTTACACATACGAGTATACACATACACACTGCATACATACATATTTACATACATACATACATACATACATACATACACACACATACATACATACATACATACATGCATACATACATACATACATACACGCATACGCATGTACGTATAAGACGGTCGGCTTGCCACCTTTTGTTGCAGCTGGAGGCCAGTTTCGGGCTCCGTGGACCTTCAACCATCAATTCACGGCTCGGGTTGCAAAAGTGGCCCGCTGGGAAGGGCGTCGAGGGGCCTCCAGGGCCCCGTTGTGATAATGGGGAAGGAGGTCACAACCCTCCCAGAAGCGCAGTTTTAGACCCCCCCAAAGCCAGCCACGAGAGGGCGGCCTTTTACCCAGGCCCCCCCGAGCCCTCCAAGACAGCAACCAGACCCCCCCGAATCAGACCTCCCCCACTTTATTGCGCAACGGGGGGTGCGCAGAGGAGCTCGGGTGCTCCCAAGAAGCCTTCTCAGGAGACTTTCATCAGCACCGCCTAGATGTACTGATACCGTGTACCGCCGGCCCCACAAGAGCGACGCGCGCGCCGAGAAGTCCTGTAGCGCATGCTCTGTGGCGGGTTCTTTCTTGCCGTACCGCTCGGGAAACGATCATCTTCAAGATGCTTGTACACTCTAGGCGATGCTTAAGAAAACTCAAGTTTTCGGCCAGAGTCTCGATTATTCTTAATGTTTCAATGTAAATCCCAAGATTTGAATAGACATTCTGGGTTTTTTATTCAGATTCTGAGGCTATGAATTTCTTAACCCATGATTTCTTCAGCATCTCGCAGGGTGCACTGTCTGTTCGGTGCGGGCGCACGCCTCCGAGGTGGACACCTCGTACCCGCGTGTGCTTCTGCGCCCCGCCTCACATCTCTTCTTCCTCGGAGGTCCCCGCCAGGCCCTCCCAGGAGGTCCCTCCCCCAGCTGCTCCACGCGGCACCTCCTGCGCGCCGGCACGGCGGCGTTTCGCCGGAGGTGGCCCGGGCCCGAGGTGTCGTGCGATCGCAAACATGGATCAAGGGGGCGTGGACTAGCGAGGGGTCCCGTTTCCAGGAGAAGTCGCGGATTCCCGCCGCCGAGCGAGGCGGCACCGGCCACATTTCGGGGAGGGCACCTCCCCCGGTCCATGGATTGGGCGACCGCGGATCGCTAATCCATGTTTGCGCGCCCCCGAAGGTGGCCCCAGGTCACCGAGCGCGTTCCACCACTCGCGCAAAGTGCCTACTCGCAAACGTTCGAAAATGACCATGTTCGTCTAGATGTAGTGGATGGTGAATCCCCAGCGGCGGAACCAGGCCATTTGCGAGCAATTACTTTGCGAGCAGCTTATCACCCGGGTTGACCCAAAAGGGAGTCCATCGACA